TCACCCGCGGGACAGACGGCAGGGCACGCGACGCTCACCCCCCCTCCTCCCGCCCCCCCAATGGTACGTCCCCAACCGCCGCTTCCTAGTCTCGCGGCGTTCTAAAGCAGCCCGCCAAGCCCCGCCTCCGAGGGGGGAGGGAACCAAAGGGACCCGTCCATCACCCGACGTCACACAATGAAAGGGGAAGGACTTTCGAAAAGGAGGGGCCCGCGTTGAATGACTGGCACCCGTGGCTACGGAATGCGGAAGGAGCGGGCGCTGGTCTGTTGTCACGTGACATATGAAACCGCTAGGACCTAGAAGGAAAATTTCTTCTTTTCCGGGAAAACCCGTGTTGTGGGAGTTCAAAAACAACCTCAGTGACAGATCCTATTGTATATGGATTGCTAGCAGAGGAGCTCATTTGACCCTTGCCTGCTTCAGTTTTTTTTTGTTTTGTCTTGTTTTTTTTTGCAATCTCTCATAGGTGATCTTGGCATTTCAGTCTGCACCAAGCAGTGGTGCTTATTTCTAAATAATTTGTGCCCAGTAAAAAGTAAGTGTGCGATTTTGGCAGTGCATGTGCACCTTAGACAGATTCCTAATCAAGTTGAGAGTTCTTTCCTCCTGCCCTATCCCTGAATGGATTTCTGAAACAATACCGTAAATGTAATATTTTTCCCACATTTTCCCCCGCAGTTTCTGGAGTAGTTACTCCTATTCAGTAGTCAGAAGCTCAGGACATTGTTGCACTCTGCCAGTATAAATATACCAAATATTCCTACAGGTGTGTCCCTCTGTCTATGCTTGAAGTTCTGTCTTATCCAGCCATTGCTTTATGAATACAGTGTCATTAACTCATGCTCCATTATTGTTCTATTGTTTGGATCTACTCTTGGCTGACAGAAAGACAAAACAAGAGGGTCCTAGATCAACAATGTTGAAGCTGAAAGTAACCTACTTTGGGGACATCATGAGAAGGCAGGATTCTTTGGAAAAGACCATGATGCTGGGAAAAGTGGAAGGCAGCAGGAGAAGAGGAAGACCGAATACGGGATGGACGGACTGCTTAAGGAAACCACAGGCTTCAGTTTGTAAGGAGGGCATATTCGGAGGCGACTGGATGGGAACTGGAAATGAGAATTGGAAAAACTTCACCCTTGACGGCCCTGTGCCAAATGCGTCCACTCGCGGCACCATTCCGTTGGTCCAAAAGACTCTTCTGCCGGACTCCATTCCCCAAGATTTACTACACGATTTACTACAACTCCCAGGAGGCCCTTCTCCGATGGGCGGCTTACTTACGCCACCTTGTCGCCCCGCCCCTTCCTCGAGCGACGTCACTTTCGGGGGCATTCCGCCGAGGCCTGACTACGCTTCCCAGAAGGCAGCGCGCCGTTTCAAGGCCGGGCGCCGCTTAGGACGCGGCGGCGGGCTCGGCCGGGAGTCGTAGTTCCTCGAGTTCCTCCAGGGGGCTGAGAGGGGTGCGGGCGGGAGGGGGTGCAAAGAAGAAGCCTGTGACGTCAGAGAGGGCGTCGAGCGCTGAGGTGACGGACGGCCGGGGAGCGAAGAGAAGGCCGAGGAGCGGCTTGTTTATTCGACGCGGGCCTTTCTCTCTCTCTCTCCTGAGGGAAAGGAGGGCGCGCCGCCATGGCTGCCTGTAACACCTGCGCAGCGGCAGCGCGGCTCCTGAGCTCTTCTCTGCCGTCGGCCCGCCGAGGTAAGGGCGAGGGTGGGCGGCCGCCTTCTCCTCTTCCTCCTCCCTCCATCGGTTGGGGTCTCGGGCCAGGCCTTTGCCCCTCCGTGGGCATTCGACCACCGCCCCCCCTCAGCCTCGGCCTCTCTCCTGCTTCCTCCCCCCCTCACCAACAAGGCCTCCACACCCCAGAGATGTGTCCCTGCTCCTTCCCTTGGCGTGCCAGTTATTTATTCAAAAGCGGCCGCCTTCTCCTCTTCCTCCTCCCTCCATCGGTTGGGGTCTCGGGCCAGGCCTTTGCCCCTCCGTGGGCATTCGACCACCGCCCCCCCTCAGCCTCGGCCTCTCTCCTGCTTCCTCCCCCCCTCACCAACAAGGCCTCCACACCCCAGAGATGTGTCCCTGCTCCTTCCCTTGGCGTGCCAGTTATTTATTCAAAACGTCTCCACCCCGCCTTTCTCCTTAAAAAGAACCCAAGGCGGCTTACATCTTTAAAAGGCAATATTTAGGATGCAACAGGAGGGGGTCCAGGGAGCTTCTGGTTCGAAACTCTTCTTTGTCAACACCTCCCACCCAGCTTGACGATGGTTTCTAGCAGGCCCTTCCTTAATTACTGAAAATATCCCCACCTCAGAGGAGTTCTTCTGCCCCTTTCCCTTGGCTCGACACTCCTCCTGATCCGCACAACCTTTCCGACGGCTTCCAGTAGGACCTCTCATTCCTTGGCTTAAAAAGTCCGTTTATTTATTAACAGCATCCTTTTCTAAGAAAAAAATGGCCCAAAGGAAAGTTTGTGGGAGCATAATTCTTGTGTTTGTTTTTAAAACAGCTCCTTTTAAAATAGACCCTCTCCTCTTCTCCACCCCAAAGGTGGAGTTTAAAGGTGAAAACAAAGCTGTTTTCCCTGACCGGATTGTTGTTAGGCTTAGTGGAGAGGTTTCTGTTGGACCCCTTAAACCAGTGGTTCTTAGCTTTTTTTTCAAGTTGCAACCCCACTAGACAATCCCCAAGTAACCTGGGACGCCAAACCACCACGTTTGCATAAAAAGGCATTTTTTAACAGGGTAAAGTCATCCCATCTCAGAAAGCAGAGGCTTCTTTCTCCCCCTTCCCAAAGAAGCAGTTTCTCACAGGTACATATACATGCTAACTTTAATATTGTATCTCACTCTGAAAGTTCAGGGAAGAAATTATTTGACAAGGGCTACCACACATGTAAAGCAACCCACACACCTCCAAGAAAACACTTTGCAATCCCCTTGGGGGATCATGACCCTCAACTGTCCTTATCATATCTGCTCTGTAACAAGGCCACCTGAGTTCAGTGGGGCTTGCTCTGGAGTAAGTGTGTTTAGGATTTCCATAACTCTACAGTTTTGTACACACTTAATGGGTATAAACCCTTTTGAAGTTAGAGTCACTACCAAGAAGGCATGATTAGCTTTAAATTGCTGGTCTTGTGCTGATAAAGCTTTTGTAGTGATGGGTATTGTAATTACTGTACAATATTATTTAAATTTTCCGAACTTGTTTTCTTTCCTAATTGCTTCAAGTTTTATTTTCTTGATAGAGGAGTGGGATGTATTTAAATCAAGAATTTTTCTTTGTTTATACACATTGAAGGCTATCAAACTCATATTGGGATTCTAATTGGATTTCAATACATGTATTTGTCTGTTCATCAGTTTTTGTTCTACTTTATTTAAGAGATGTAAACTTGCAGTTTCATAAATGTTAGAATTAATTGGCTGAAATCTGGTAGTAAATAACAACTCAAGTAGGCGAATCAGTGGGACTTACATAGTTGTTGACTCACCAAATCACCACTAATTCGATTAGCCTACTCTAGTTGTGACTATTGGATTTCAACCAGTGAGTTTTTTCTTAACAGTCAGTGACAAAAACATGCCCTTTCTCATGAGAATCAACTAATACTTTCAACAGCTTCAAACAGTTCCCTCATTAATTACTTTCTTCTGATTTTATTTAAATATCTGTATACAGTATTAAGAGCACACCTTGTTTAGTTGGTCTGTCTGCTGGTAGAATGCCTAAAGTTTCTAACCCAAAAATTATTGTGCCGATTTTTTTTCTGACAGTGCAGTCTTGTATATGTGTATTCAAAAGCAAGTCCCACTGACCAGAATTTTGTTGTTATTTAAGTAAAGTTTGTGTGACTTGCTGTGGCTAATTGCAGATAACTGATGAAGTGCTGAGACATATCTCAGTAATGCAGTCAGGCATGTGATAGGCACACAACCAAGACACACTCTGGCATCTTGTTAATTAGCTGCAGTTATCCACAGCAAGTTGTGTAGAGCACATGTGAATGCCCATGTGCTTTGGAGTTGCAGCCTGAGTCATGGTTATGTCATACACAGTGCTGTAAAACCAACAGAAGCAAGGGATGAGAAGAGGTTTTTAACATTGCTTCATGTGGGCCAGAGGTCACAATCGGTACAGAGACGTGTTCAGTCCCCAACCTTGGTCTTTGGTTCTTCCGAAGGAGTTATGTAAGCTCTCTGACCTACTGCGTTGATGTAGTTTCTCAGGGTCTTCCACCTGCCAGTGCGGTCAAGTATCCATATGGCATTACTATAACCCATGCAACTTAAAGCATCTTATTTTATCTGGAATGTTTTCAGAAGTTTTTTTGTAATGATATACAACAGATTTCATGGAACTCTGGCTTTTTGATCAAAAGGCAGAGGATGCACCTGAACACTTGCATGGAGACTGCATGTAATTGTAAACATGTAACGTCATCCCCAAGGATACCAATATGAATAGCCCATGTCTTTTCCTAGCACTTTTTATACCTGAGCTGAATGTGAATGGTGTTCTTTACCACCGTGCCATCCTTACTTCCAGATTTATGTACAGTAGGCATTCTTCTGAGTTTTCCTAACCGGCTGTTGTCTTACATTCCACTGGATCAAGAATAAATATTGTTTCACAGGGAGCATATCACTAAATGCACTCTAGTTGACGTTATTTTGTCACTAGGTGTTATTTGTCTTTGCAGTTAAAATGTGAACATGGGTTTATTTTTAAGCCTGAGATTTTTCAGTTTGACTTCTCTTATGGAGTTATAGAAGGTGAAAAAAACAAATTATTGTCTCTGGGTGGTAGGCAGGTTGTTACTTATTTATATAGTAGATATGCCACCTTTTTGTCAGGATTGGAATACAAGAGAAGTGGTCATAATTTTTCTGTATAAAACAAGGATTTATTTCTCTTTTAGGTATCACATGTGGCCGTTCCTGCCTTCCTGTTTTAGGAATAATTGGAACTTTTGAAGCCCAGTCTCTAAGACCTATTCCCTTTAGAACATTTTCAGAGACAGCAGTGTACTTTGCATCAAAAGATGGTGCAAGCAAAGATGGTTCAGGAGATGGCGGTAAGGTATGCAAACAATTTTAAGTAGACGTCTTGGCTCAAAAGAAAGCGTTTCCACTTTTAAATTTTTAATACTTAAATTTTCTGAAACATTAAAGCATTCCAAATAAATGGTAACTGTATTTTGGGCTACACTTTGAATCTGTTGTTTCTCCTGTTTAAATACAGTTGCAGATGAGAAGAAAGTTTAGAGGCTCAGGTCACACTACATACCAGGCTATGTATAAGGAGACTTAAATGTGATTCGAAATGATGCTGTTCTCTGAAATTTAGAAAATCTTATTCATACATTGCACGGAAAAAGGCTACGATCTTTTGAAACTGAATAGGTAGACAACAAAACCAAATAAGTGGCTCTGAGCCCAAATTGCCTTGTATATTTGTAATCTCCAGTAATGTTTGGGTTCTAAATTAAGATTTGATGTCTGACTTTAAGAAGAATAGTTATAAAAATCCTAGGGTTCCCCTTTAAATTAAAAAAACATTATCTTGCCTTAAACTAATGGTTCTTTGTAGAAAAAGTTACCTTACACTTTGTAAGCAAGGCTGGCCCATAACCCTGATATGGGTTCACTGGCAGTGACCCAAGTCCTCCTCCTTCCATGTTGTGACTGCCTGTTGACCTCTGCATTCTGTATTCATGAGAGGAATTCCTATATTATGAGACAGGATCTTCCACTTGCTTTGTATCTCCCGCTGGGCAATTAGAGAATTAGATCTGTAGTTGGAGAACAAATGAATAGGGAGCAGTGATGGTGACAAGAAGAGCCAAGAAGTGGGGATAAACGTCTGTTGTGGGCCATCTAGAGTGGCCTAAATGAATAGGGAGCAGTGATGGTGACAAGATTGTGGGCCATCTAGAGTGGCCTTGGTAGCCAGATGGATGGTATAAAAATAAAATAAAAAGTAAGTAAGTAAAGAGACATTGTCCCTCTGCCTTTATTTGCCAAACTTGCACTGATCTGGAACATGTACTGTTTATATAAATATATACTTTATGAAATGGCTTTAATGCCTTTCTTTGTACATATTAGTAAAAACATTTTGAAGTACATAAGTACTAAACCTTTTACAATCTAAAATTCCCCAAAATGTATAAGCATGCTTAACTTCACTGTGAGCATTTGGCTTCTATTTTTGGATGACAAACAGCACAAAACAATAATATAGTGGAGAAAATGAGAGCAAGGCACAGATACCTCAACTATATCTCTTCGTTAAACCAGTTGATGATATGTGGATCTAATTAGTAATCTGCTGTCTTGTTCTAACAATGAGTATCCTTTTTTTATTGAATTCCACAGAAAACTCCAGGGGAAGGCAACAGTAAAAAAGCAAGTTCTGGAAGTTCTGGCAAAGGTGGAAACCAGCTGCGTTGCCCAAAGTGTGGTGACTTGTGCACACACGTGGAGACTTTTGTGTGTAAGTTTTAGAAGAAAATTTTCTATAGTAAGGATGGGCAACCATCAGAGGTCCAGAAGCAACGTAGATTCCCACAATCCCCTTAGCAGAAATTCTTACAAAATGTTTTATGTAACTATACCTTCCCTTGCATTCTCTAGGGTCAAAAAACATACTTCCGCAGTGGGGTATTGGGGGCTCCATGTTGCTCACTTTTGCTCTGTAGATCCATTTTCACTATAACGAAACAGTTACATTATTTGCCAAATTTGAATTGTGTCACAACCAGGTTTACTTATGTATAAATGTGGGACTTCAGTCTAGATTTAATTTCAGATTATATCTGGCAAGTGGAGTGAATCTCCCATAGCCACATCTTAGCATAAGCTTCTTATATGCTGCATATAAGCTTTGTTCCCTTGATACTGTGATCCTTCTTTATTTGTTGTTTTGGCCCAACGTACAGAGTGCTTTGTAGAGGACAGTTAGCAAAGTGGGCTTCTGAAATGCTTGTGCATGTTCAACTGCCATCCTACTGGCACTTTCATGGTTTCAAGTGTATTACGAAATGGCGTCTAAGAAGCCTGTGTGCTGGGCAATTTTTTTTTTAATGTTTGAAAGTTGTGGTCTTTGGTATACAGTACTTCTGCTTTCCTATTTACTTCAGAAGAATTTGTTCTACATGTTGGGCATTGTCTATTCCTTTGCCTTATATTGTATGTTCGGTTTCATGTTAGCATGTTGGAATTAGCGAGGAGGGGGTTTTGCGAAGCAGGATTTTACCAAGCATAATTTCTAGAAATTAGTTGCTTCGTCTTTGTCAGCAGCCCTTGTTACATGGACAGTGTTTGTCCACCTGAGAGATGGGGCATGTAAAAAGTCATGGCCACACAATCATGGCAAAGGATATTGGCACCCTTGCAGTTCTGTCAGAAAATGCAACCCTTCTCTCAGAAAATTGTTGCAGTTGCAAATGCTTTGGTACTTACATGTTCATGTCTTTGGTTTGCATTGGAACAACACACACAAAAAAGCACAGAGGAAAAGTCAAATCTGATATTTTTGACATGACTGTAGACGTTTAGTGATCAGAATTGCACTTTGCCAGCGGAGAGCCCAATTCAGTACTTATTGTTGGAACAAGCAGTCCTCAGCATGCTGCAAAACAACAACCTCACTAATCAAGATGGTAGGAAGTTGATATATATTGGAAAGCACCTGCCTGTGTGGCAGACTTAAGTTCAGGAAGTTGTTTTTTGAGGGAATTTTACATCCTGCATTACAATGTAAAAACTGCCATAATTGTATTTCTCATATTTGTTACTTGCCATTCCCACAAGGCATTCTGAGTGATATGCATGGGAGTTACTTTGTTTTGTCTTATTTTGTAAAGCAGATGAGTGTAATATCAGGGGAATGGCTCTAGATTTCCCTATTTATGTGTATTTGTTGGGATATTTGTAAACCTTTTGGTATTAAAAGTATGAAACATACAAAACATACCAAATAGTAAAAATGCCTCATTAAATCAGCAGTGCTGATTAGTGAAGCAAAGACCCTAATCAGAGCTGCACAGGCAGCTATCTAGGCTTACTCTTAAGAAGCCACTAAAAAGGAGCTTCCTGGGATTAACCTTTATGCCTAATGAGGAATAAATAAATGAATTTATTTAAAATATTTTTACTCTGCCTTTCTCCTAAAAAAAGAACCCAGGCAGCTTGTATAATTAAAACACAGTATAAAAAACTAACAGTAAATTATTGAAATATTTTAAAAGCATTAGATAAATACTATATTTTAAAAGTTAGCAAAAAGGAGCTTCCTGGGATTAACCTTTATGCCTAATGAGGAATAAATAAATGAATTTATTTAAAATATTTTTACTCTGCCTTTCTCCTAAAAAAAGAACCCAGGCAGCTTGTATAATTAAAACACAGTATAAAAAACTAACAGTAAATTATTGAAATATTTGAAAAGCATTAGATAAATACTATATTTAAAAAGTTAGCTAAAAGCATTACTAAAACAGATTTAAGCAACAAAAATGCAAGGCATCCTGTATTAAAATCTCTTTTGAACTGAGTGCAACTTGGTCCAGATCAGATAATAACCAATATCTGTTACACAGAGCTTTCAGAAAGAGCTTTTTGAATTAACTAGGCTTGTTACAGTGGAAAGAATATGAACTATCTTGGAAAGATTTATTTATTTATTGTTTGAATTTATATCCCACGCCATCTGACAACCAGGCCACTCTGGGCGGCTAACAACAATATAAGGAATAATATTAAAAACACGATAAAAATAAATTAATACATAATTAGGAAAATTAAAACAGATGGCAATAAAGGTCGTAAAAAGGGAGCGCCAGATGGCAATAAAGGTGGTAAAAAGGGAGTGTGAGATCCTAGTGCTCAGGGAAAGCCTGGCGGAAGAGCCAGGTCTTCAGTGCTCTTTTGAACCCATCCAGTGAGGGTGTCCAGGCGAATCTCAATAGGCAAGTTGTTCCATAGGCGGGGGGGCAACCACCAAGAAGGCCCAGTTTCTTGTTCTTTCCCTCTGGGCCTCCTTCGGGGTCAAGGCCCTCAACTGCCCTGCCTGTGAAGAACAGGTATTACAGACAGATCTGGTTGGGAGCAGGCATTCTGATAGGTAGCTAGGTCCTAAATCGTTTAGGGCTTTGAATGTTATCATCATAACCTTGAAGTCGAGAGGGAAACAAACCAATGAAGGGCATTTGAATGTTATCGTCATAACCTTGAAGTCCAGACGGAAACAAACCAATGAAGGGTGGCCAGAGTGAGGGAAATATGCTGGAATTTCTTCACCCCAGTTATTAATCTGACCTCCGAATTCTGGACCAGTTGAAGTCTCTGCATCAGCCTCAAAGGTAGCCCCACATAGAGAGCACTGCAGTAGTCTATTCTAGAGATTATGAGGGCATGAATCAGCGTCATGTGTATCTATGTATCAGCATCTTGTTTTCTACACCTTTGTCCTCATGGAGTAGTCACTCCTTATGAGGACAGTGAATTTGAAGTCATGCACTTCAACTTTATTGCACTGGAGTGGAAGATTTCTTGAAGCAGTGAATGTGTTTTTAAAAAATTAAGCACTGAAGAAGTGAAATATTACTTCACTTCCTTATGGTGCATGCTGACACTGTATTATGTATCAGGAGACAGGTATCTTTTCAGCCCTGCATCTATCAGTACTTCCTCTGAAATCATTTTAGCATCATGCTCATGGTGCAGGGGTTATATCAGAAGAAGCTGTGATATGGGGTTGTCTCATGATGTGAGCCTTGACACAGACTTGTGAGGGTGGCCTTGCTGGTGTAGTGCAGCAAAAGCAATGTTGTCTCATGATGTGAGCCTTGACACAGAATTGTGAGGGTGAGGGTGGCCTTGCTGGCGTAGTGCAGCAAAAGCAACGAAGAGTCCAGGAATGTGTGGCAACTGAGGCACCAGTCTGTGCCTCTCATGAGGTGGACTGCTGTCCATGAAAGCTTATGCCATTACAAATAGATCTAAGTTTTCTAGTGAGGTGCTTTCTTTTAGCATGGAATGTTTTTGTAATCTCAACAGCAGTTGTGTTAACAAGATGAAAAAACACTCAGGCAATTGTCTCTGATAAATGAGAATTATTTCAGATTGTTCAAGTGCAGTTTGGTCTATCTGTTACTTTCTCACAATTAAAAGTTATTGAGTAGTTGTTGTTTATATCATACATTTCTAAAAGTACCCAGAATGAAATACAAGGTAGTTATTAAACCATGTAATATAATGAATAAAAAGGAAGGTATAGTAGGCTGTTTCTGAAAACAGTAGGAACATACAGGCAAGACAGAAAATAAAGCAAAAGATAAACCTAGTGGTAGAAGGAGTAAAAGAATGTATACAGTACATTAAAAATTGGAAAAATAAAATACGGGTAGCTTGTTAAAAAGCTATTAACGTAAAAGCTGCTTTGGTTTCTGGTGAAAGGAAACATGACATATTTTAACTGGCAGGGTGTTTGAAATGTGCAGCAGCACCACAGAGGAAATGTTATTATTTGTGCCCAGTCACCTAATCTCCCAAGGATTCTGACACTGATCTCAATTACCACATAGGAGGAAGTAGTCTAAAGCTGCTGTGGGCAACTGCAGTGTTCCAGATGTTCTTGGACCACAACTTCCAGTAGTATTATTGCAGCAGCGAGGGTTCATGAGTGTTGTAGTCCAAAAAAGACCTAGAGGATTGCAATAGTTTCAATTTCATCTAAAGAACCCAGATTCTAAACCATTTCAGGGTTTACATGTTAGAACCATTCCCTATTTTGAAGCAAATATGAGAGTGACATAGCATAAATTATGTAATCCTGCCTGGATGTGCCTGACAAAAGTCTACCACATTTTGGACCCATAGAGACTTCCAGGTTGCCTTGAAAGATAGCCCTATTTACAGTAAACAACAATAAGAAATTTTGGATGCAGCTGCAGTAGGGATGATTTAAGCCATGTCTCTCTCTTCTACAGAAAAGAGTACAGCTGGAATATTAGCCAAACCTGATAAAAGGCACTTTTGACAACCACTGGCAAAAACATCCAGGAAACCAGTGAAGTAAGATGTACCTCTAAGCACACCAGCCATGAATGTCTCATTCAGAACAGGTTGAACCACCTCATTGAGACAGTCAGTAGTTTTGACTAATAGTACCTGTGTTTGCTCCAAATTAAGTTTCAACTTGTTAACTTTGCCTCCTCTTGTACTGATTCCATGCAAAGGATTGTTAGTTCCACTGTTTCTGTGAAAAAATGAGAGGCAGAGCTTTGCTTCATCAGCATATTTGTGACTTCTCAGTGCAACCCTCTGGATTACCGTATGTACATTTTCATGTAGTCATTAGAAAGCATGGGAAGGACAATAGAATCCTGTGGTATGCCAAGCTTCTGTGCAGCAGTTAAATAGTCTGTTTATGCTAGCATGGATGATGTTGGCCCATTGACTAAAAAATCTTCTGGTGTCTGTGACACAGTG